TCCGTTTACTAGGCCTTCCGTTTATAGGCCATATACCCATCACTATAGAGAAGAGGGCCTTCACTATAATGAAGAGGACCGTTTACTAGGCCTAGCCATACCCATCATTATAGTGAAGAGGACCTTCCGTTTACTAGGCCTAGCCATACCCATCACTATAGAGTAGAGGCCTTTCCGTTTACTAGGCCTAGCCATACCCATCACTATAGTGAAGAGGACCTTCCCGTTTACTAGGCCTAGCCATACCCATCATTATAGTGAAGAGGACCTTTCCGTTTACTAGGCCTAGCCATACCCATCATTATAGTGAAGAGGACCTTCCGTTTACTAGGCCTAGCCATACCCATCATTATAGTGAAAGAGGACCTTCCGTTTACTAGGCTTTAGCCATACCCATCACTATAGAGTGAAGGCCTTTCCGTTTACTAGGCCTAGCCATACCCATCACTATAGTGAAGAGGACCTTCCGTTTACTAGGCCTAGCCATACCCATCATTATAGTGAAGAGGACCTTCCGTTTACTAGGCCTAGCCATACCCATCATTATAGTGAAGAGGACCTTCCGTTTACTAGGCCTAGCCATACCCATCACTATAGAGTAGAGGCCTTTCCGTTTACTAGGCCTAGCCATACCCATCATTATAGTGAAGAGGACCTTCCGTTTACTAGGCCTAGCCATACCCATCATTATAGTGAAGAGGACCTTTCCGTTTACTAGGCCTAGCCATACCCATCACTATAATGAAGAGGACCTTCCGTTTACTAGGCCTAGCCATACCCATCATTATATCATTATAGTGAAGAGGACCTTTACCGTTTACTAGGCCTAGCCATACCCATCACTATAGTGAAGAGGACCTTCCGTTTACTAGGCCTAGCCATACCCATCATTATAGTGAAGAGGACTCCGTTTACTAGCTCCAGCCATACACCCATCATTATAATGAAGAGGACCTTCCGTTTACTAGGCCTAGCCATACCCATCATTATAGTGAAGAGGACCTTCCGTTTACTAGGCCTAGCCATACCCATCACTATAAGTAAGAGGCCCTTTCCGTTTACTAGGCCTAGCCATACACATCACTATAATGAAGAGGACCTTCCGTTTACTAGGCCTAGCCATACCCATCATTATAGTGAAGAGGACCTTCCGTTTACTAGGCCTAGCCATACCCATCACTATAGAGAAGAGGCCTTTCCGTTTACTAGGCCTAGCCATACACATCACTATAATGAAGAGGACCTTCCGTTTACTAGGCTAGCCATACCCATCATTATAGTGAAGGGACCTTTCCGTTTACTAGGCCTAGCCATACCCATCACTATAGTGAAGAGGGACCTTCCGTTTATTAGGCCTAGCCATTCACTATAGGCCTTTCCGTTTATAGGCCTAGCCATCACATCACTATAATGAAGGACCCGTTTAGGGACCTTTGCGTTTCACTATAGAGTAGACCTTCCGTTTACTAGGCCTAGCCATACCCATTTCATTATAGTGAAGAGGACCTTCCGTTTACTAGGCCTAGCCCTGCCCATCACTATAGAAGAGAGTCCTTTCCGTTTACTAGGCCTAGCCATACCCATCACTATAATGAAGAGGACCTTTCCGTTTACTAGGCCTAGCCATACCCTTCCATCACTATAGAGAAGAGGACCTTTCCGTTTACTAGGCCTAGCCATACACATCACTATAGTGAAGAGGACCTTCCGTTTACTAGGCCTAGCCATACCCATCATTATAGTGAAGAGGACCTTCCGTTTACTAGGCCTAGCCATACCCATCACTATAGAGTAGAGGCCTTTCCGTTTACTAGGCCTAGCCATACACATCAATATAATGAAGAGGACCTTCCGTTTACTAGGCCTAGCCATACCCATCACTATAGAGTAGAGGCCTTTCCGTTTACTAGGCCTAGCCATACACATCACTATAATGAAGAGGACCTTCCGTTTACTAGGCCTAGCCATACCCATCATTATAGTGAAGAGGACCTTCCGTTTACTAGGCCTAGCCATACCCATCACTATAGAGTAGAGGCCTTTCCGTTTACTAGGCCTAGCCATACACATCACTATAATGAAGAGGACCTTCCGTTTACTAGGCCTAGCCATACCCATCATTATAGTGAAGAGGACCTTCCGTTTACTAGGCCTAGCCATACCCATCACTATAGAGTAGAGGCCTTTCCGTTTACTAGGCCTAGCCATACACATCACTATAATGAAGAGGACCTTCCGTTTACTAGGCCTAGCCATACCCATCATTATAGTGAAGAGGACCTTCCGTTTACTAGGCCTAGCCATACCCATCATTATAGTGAAGAGGACCTTCCGTTTACTAGGCCTAGCCATACCCATCATTATAGTGAAGAGGACCTTCCGTTTACTAGGCCTAGCCATACCCATCACTATAGAGAAGAGGACCTTCCGTTTACTAGGCCTAGCCATACACATCATCACTATAATGAAGGGACCTTTTCCGTTTACTAGGCCTAGCCATCACTATAGAGTAGGACCTTTCCGTTTACTAGGCCTAGCCATACCCATCACTATAATGAAGAGGACCTTTCCGTTTACTAGGCCTAGCCATACCCATCACTATAGTGAAGAGGACCTTTCCGTTTACTAGGCCTAGCCATCACCCATCATTATAATGAAGGGACCTTCCGTTTACTAGGCCTAGCCATACCCATCATTATAGTGAAGAGGGACCTTCCGTTTACTAGGCCTAGCCATACCCATCACTATAGAGTAGAGGCCTTTCCGTTTACTAGGCCTAGCCATACACATCACTATAATGAAGAGGACCTTCCGTTTACTAGGCCTAGCCATACCCATCATTATAGTGAAGAGGACCTTCCGTTTACTAGGCCTAGCCATACCCATCACTATATAGTTTCCGTTTACTAGGCCTAGATACATCATTATAATGAAGAGGACCTTCCGTTTACTAGGCCTAGCCATACCCATCATTATAGTGAAGAGGACCTTCCGTTTAGCTAGGCCTAGCCATACCCATCACTATAGAGTGAGGCCTTTCCGTTTACTAGGCCTAGCCATACCCATCACTATAATGAAGAGGACCTTCCGTTTACCCATCATTATAGTGAAGAGGACCTTCCGTTTACTAGGCCCAGCCACACATCATTATAATGAAGAGGACCTTCCGTTTACTAGGCCTAGCCATACCCATCATTATAGTGAAGAGGACCTTCCGTTTACTAGGCCTAGCCATACCCATCATTATAGTGAAGGGACCTTCCGTTTACTAGGCCTAGCCATACCCATCACTATAATGAAGAGGACCTTCCGTTTACTAGGCCTAGCCATACCCATCATTATAGTGAAGAGGACCTTCCGTTTACTAGGCCTAGCCATACCCATCATTATAGTGAAGAGGACCTTCCGTTTACTAGGCCTAGCCATACCCATCATTATAATTACTAGGCCTAGCCATACCCATCACTATAGTGAGGAGACTTTCCGTTTACTAGGCCTAGCCATACCCATCATTATAGTGAAGAGGACCTTCCGTTTACTAGGCCTAGCCATACCCATCATTATAGTGAAGGGACCTTCCGTTTACTAGGCCTAGCCATACATCACTATAGAGTAGAGGCCCTTCCGTTTACCCATCATACCCATCACTATAATGAAGAGGACCTTCCGTTTACTAGGCCTAGCCATACCCATCATTATAGGAAGAGGACCTTCCGTTTACCCCATCATTATAGTGAAGAGGACCTTCCGTTTACTAGGCCTTACCCATCATTATAGAGTGAAGGACCTTCCGTTTACTAGGCCATACCATCACTATAATGAAGAGGACCTTCCGTTTACTAGGCCTAGCCATACCCATCACTATAGAAGAGGACCTTCCGTTTACTAGGCCTAGCCATACCCATCATTATAGTGAAGAGGACCTTCCGTTTACTAGGCCTAGCCATACCCATCATTATAGTGAAGAGGACCTTCCGTTTACTAGGCCTAGCCATACCCATCACTATAGAGTAGAGGCCTTTCCGTTTACTAGGCCTAGCCATACACATCACTATAATGAAGAGGACCTTCCGTTTACTAGGCCTAGCCATACCCATCATTATAGTGAAGAGGACCTTCCGTTTACTAGGCCTAGCCATACCCATCATTATAGTGAAGAGGACCTTCCGTTTACTAGGCCTAGCCATACCCATCACTATAATGTAGAGGACCTTTACCGTTTACTAGGCCTAGCCATACCCATCACTATAATGAAGAGGACCTTCCGTTTACTAGGCCTAGCCATACCCATCACTATAGTGAAGAGGACCTTCCGTTTACTAGGCCTAGCCATACCCATCATTATAGTGAAGGGGACCTTCCGTTTACTAGGCCTAGCCATACCCATCATTATAGTGAAGAGGACCTTCCGTTTACTAGGCCTAGCCATACCCATCACTATAGTGAGTAGAGGCCTTTCCGTTTACTAGGCCTAGCCATACACATCATTATAATGAAGAGGACCTTCCGTTTACTAGGCCTAGCCATACCCATCACTATAGTGAAGTTTAGGACCTTTTCCGTTTAGTGAAGGACCTTCCGTTTACTAGGCCTAGCCATACCCATCATTATTGTATAATGAAGAGGACCTTCCGTTTACTAGGCCTAGCCATACCCATCATTATAGTGAAAGGCCTTTCCGTTTACTAGGCCTAGCCATACACATCACTATAATGAAGAGGACCTTCCGTTTACTAGGCCTAGCCATACCCATCATTATAGTGAAGAGGACCTTCCGTTTACTAGGCCTAGCCATACCCATCACTATAGTGAAGAGGACCTTCCGTTTACTAGGCCTAGCCATACCCATCACTATAGTGAAGAGGACCTTCCGTTTACTAGGCCTAGCCATACCCATCATTATAGTGAAGAGGACCTTCCGTTTACTAGGCCTAGCCATACCCATCACTATAGTGAAGAGGACCTTCCGTTTACTAGGCCTAGCCATACCCATCATTATAATGAAGAGGACTAGGCCTAGCCATACCCATCATTATAGTGAAGAGGCCTTTCCGTTTACTAGGCCTAGCCATACCCATCATTATAGTGAAGAGGACCTTCCGTTTACTAGGCCTAGCCATACCCATCATTATAGTGAAGAGGACCTTCCGTTTACTAGGCCTAGCCATACCCATCACTATAGAGTAGAGGCCTTTCCGTTTACTAGGCCTAGCCATACTCATCACTATAATGAAGAGGACCTTCCGTTTACTAGGCCTAGCCATACCCATCATTATAGTGAAGAGGACCTTCCGTTTACTAGGCCTAGCCATACCCATCATTATAGTGAAGAGGACCTTCCGTTTACTAGGCCTAGCCATACCCATCACTATAGTGAAGAGGACCTTCCGTTTACGTTTCACTATAGTGAAGAGGACCTTCCGTTTACTAGGCCTAGCCATACCCATCACTATAATGAAGAGGACCTTCCGTTTACTAGGCCTAGCCATACCCATCATTATAGTGAAGAGGACCTTCCGTTTACTAGGCCTTCCCATACCCATCATTATAGTGAAGAGGACCTTCCGTTTACTAGGCCTAGCCATACCCATCACTATAGAGTAGAGGCCTTTCCGTTTACTAGGCCTAGCCATACATCACTATAATGAAGAGGACCTTCCGTTTACTAGGCCTAGCCATACCCATCATTATAGTGAAGAGGACCTTCCGTTTACTAGGCCTAGCCATACCCATCATTATAGTGAAGAGGACATTCCGTTTACTAGGCCTAGCCATACCCATCATTATAGTGAAGAGGACCTTCCGTTTACTAGGCCCTTTACCCATCACTATAGAGAAGAGGCTTTCCGTTTACTAGGCCTACCCACATCACTATAATGAAGAGGACCTTCCGTTTACTAGGCCTAGCCATACCCATCATTATAGTGAAGAGGACCTTCCGTTTACTAGGCCTAGCCATACCCATCATTATAGTGAAGAGGACCTTCCGTTTACTAGGCCTAGCCATACCCATCACTATAGAGTAGAGGCCTTTCCGTTTACTAGGCCTAGCCATACACATCACTATAATGAAGAGGACCTTCCGTTTACTAGCCTAGCCATACCCATCATTATAGTGAAGAGGACCTTCCGTTTACTAGGCCTACCCATCATTATAGTGAAGAGGACCTTCCGTTTACTCACTATATCATTATAGTGAAGAGGACCTTCCGTTTACTAGGCCCTAGCCATACCCATCACTATAGAGAAGAGGCCTTTCCGTTTACTAGGCCTAGCCATACCCATCATTATATTGAAGAGGACCTTCCGTTTACTAGGCCTAGCCATACCCATCATTATAGTGAAGAGGACCTTCCACTAGGCCTACCATACCCATCACTATATAGTAGAGGCCTTTCCGTTTACTAGGCCTAGCCATACACATCACTATATAATGAAGAGGACCTTCCGTTTACTAGGCCTAGCCATACCCATCACTATAGTGAAGAGGACCTTCCGTTTACTAGGCCTAGCCATACACATCACTATAATGAAGAGGACCTTCCGTTTACTAGGCCTAGCCATACCCATCACTATAGTGAAGAGGACCTTCCGTTTACTAGGCCTAGCCATACCCATCACTCTAGAGTAGAGGCCTTTCCGTTTACTAGGCCTAGCCATACACATCACTATAATGAAGAGGACCTTCCGTTTACTAGGCCTAGCCATACCCATCACTATAGTGAAGAGGACCTTCCGTTTACTAGGCCTAGCCATACCCATCACTATAGAGTAGGCCCTTCCGTTTACTAGGCCTAGAGGCCATCACTATAATGAAGAGGACCTTCCGTTTACTAGGCCTAGCCATACACATCACTATAATGAAGAGGACCTTCCGTTTACTAATGCCTAGCCATACCCATCATTGTAGTGAAGAGGCCTTCCGTTTACTAGGCCTATCCATACCCATCACTATAGAGAAGATGCCCTTCCGTTTACTAGGCCTAGCCATACACATCACTATAATGAAGAGGACCTTCCGTTTACTAGGCCTAGCCATACCTATCACTGTAGTGTATACCTTTCCGTTTACTATATCACTATAATGAAGAGACCTTCCGGACCATACCCATCATTATAGTGAAGAGGACCTTCCGTTTACTAGGCCTATCCATACCCATCACTGTATAGAGCCTTTCCGCTTAAGAGGACCTTCCGTTTACTAGGCCTAGCCATACCTATCACTATAGTGAAGAGGACCTTCCGTTTACTAGGCCTAGCCACACCCATCACTATATAGTGAAGAGGACCTTCCGTTTACTGAGCCTAGCCATACCCATCACTATAGTGAAGAGGACCTTTCCGTTTACTAGGCCTAGCCACACCCATCACTATAGTGAAGAGGACCTTCCGTTTACTAGGCCTAGCCATACCCATCACTATAGTGAAGGACTTTCCGTTTACTAGGCCGAGCCATACCCATCACTATAGAGTAGAGGCCTTTCCGTTTACTAGGCCTAGCCATACACATCACTATAGAGAGTAGAGGCCTATAGGCCTATACCCATCACTATAATGTACCTTTCCGTTTACTAGGCCTAGCCATACCCATCACTATAGTGAAGAGGACCTTCCGTTTACTAGGCCTAGCCATACCCATCACTATAGAGTAGAAGCCTTTCCGTTTACTAGGCCGAGCCATACACATCACTATAATGAAGAGGACCTTCCGTTTACTAGGCCGAGCCATACACATCACTATAGAGTAGAGGCCTTTCCGTTTACTAGGCCTAGCCACACACATCACTATAATGAAGAGGACCTTCCGTTTACTAGGCCTAGCCATACCCATCACTATAGAGTAGAGGCCTTTCCGTTTACTAGGCCTAGCCATACCGATCACTCTAGAGTAGAGGCCTTTCTGTTTGCTGATGTTTGCTTAGTTTGTTACAATTGTTCCCAGTGCGGAATGAATTGACAACAGGATTTTAATCGTCATTATTGTTTTTACTTTTTTCTCAATGCTCTTTCCCTTTATGAAGGAGGCGATTATACCTATATAGTTCCCTTTCATTCCGTATGTAAATTGCAGTAAAATGATTTGTATAGCGCTTTCCTCTTGATTTCTCTACGACTTTGAAATCAGAATTATCCTTCTCTTAATCTGTTTGCCACTGAAATCTCGAGATTCCTGTCTAGTTTCCTATGTGCTTGGAAGTGAGGAGAGGTTATTAATGCAAACACAACAGTCTAGCCCAGCAATTAGAACACTCTTTCGCCGATTTCACTCTCCAAGTCGATATCCGTTACATTATCTAAACATCCCAGAAGTGTCCATACTTTTTTGATATACAGTTTAAACATATTCGAAAAGGACTTTTACATTTTTAAGTCACTGATATTCGGAGTATGAACTAAGGCAATGAGATGTTTTTATAACAGCAATAAAATATCGAGTCCAAACTGACAGTGTTTTCATGACATTATTTTTGTGTTTATATTATCAATATAAAAAATTGAAAGAATTGCAAAAAATTATGTGCATTGTGTGGAAAATGATGGCAACAATATATATGTAAAAATCATGAATGCAAATGAAATATTCCCTTTTAAAATAAAAATTATTATACTGCATAACCAAAAGGTCCTCAGCAAATAAAACGACATATAAAATGCAGAAAAGGGGAAACTACTTCTCTGAATAGTTTTCAAAGAATTGGTACAATTTTCGAAACAGTTCGTGGTAACAGAAAATAATAGAACAATTCCACCAGCTGAAGACTTTTCCTTGATGTGGAGAGCAATGCTCCTTTTAATTCCCGTCTTGTGGTTGTCAAATTTTTTTCTGGGCCGGGGTGACCTTAGTTAAAACAGCAGATATTCGTCAACTCCTTCAATTAAATCAAAGCCCCTCCTAACCTTTTTATAACACCTACTGGTAGGCTTCGAATTCACTTTTTGGAATTCAGAGGAAAATGTTTTGATTGGTTTTGGATGAAAAACAAACGCTTTTTTTTTTTTTTTTTTTTACCACAAATCGAAATGTAACAAATCTATTTTCGAAATTCAAAAATTAATCAACAGCCGAACGGAGCGTTTGCTTTCTGTCAGCGGACGATACACGACAAAACAGTTTAAATTTCTTATATACGCTGAGAAAAATGTATTGCCCCAATATTTTAAGCAAAGTTTATTTATCTTCAAAAATTGACTTTCATTGTTTTTTTTGCTTTCACCTGAGCTTGAACATAAACTCTCCAGCGACCGAATTTTAAACTCTCAAATCGTTGATGTTAGAATATATTTTTAATTGCCTCATTCGTCCTCTTTCTGGTAATCAAAAGATTGCTCTACTCTCACGTGTCATTGGATATCTTTTTCAACTAATTCTCCTTTTGATAATACAACATTGCAAGTTTTTGTTCACCACACATTTGTGAAGTTGAAATAATAGGCATCACTCGAAAATATGAAAACTTAAGCAATCAACGTATATACTAAGCTGAAAAAAGAAATTCTTAAGTCGGCCAAATATACAGTATGAGAACCAGTAATAAAGAAGGCTAGAGAAAAAAAACAGCAATAACAAAAATTAAATTATAACCTCTGGTAAAAAATGTTTGCTGAGGTATTAGGTTTATAAATCCCTCAAATTCACTCACTAATGTCCCCAAGAATATATGGCCCAGTGGTGGTTGATTGACCCAAAAGTGATTTGAGTTTCAAATTACCTGGTCACCTGGCAACTTGGAGATATAGACTAGTACACTAATTTTGTTAATATAAATATCTAGAAAAGATATTAATAGACGATAAAAAATGTAACATAGAAAAGCAGAAGTTCATTGTAATAGCAGAATATGCTTTAAAGAAGCTAAACGAAGTATTTAGAAACTGAAACATTTCGTTGGGAAGAAATATAATACTGCTGAAGTGTTATTTAAGTATTCATCCACATGTATGGACAGTCTCTTCACTGATGGAAAAGAGACTTGATTCCAATAAAGACGTGTTTCTACGGAAAGATGCTAAGAATTTGGAATATATGAGCCGTGTAGTTTAAACACAATAAGTTGAATATGTACACATAATAGGTGCCAGTACTACTAGCCAGTAATAGTCGTAGTAACAATAATAACAGTGTTATAAAAAATACAAAAAAAAAAATGAGTGAATGGCATCTAAATGTTTAGCAAGTGATACAACTGCGATGATAGTTTACTTTGTTGCTTAGCAACACTATTTTAGCCAGCAGAAGAAGACGTTGGTAAGAAGTCTAAACACATTGTCAATCTTTTAGGAATTCGTTTAAACTAACATCTTACGCCTTGTTATTCTTATCTTAGCATTTATCTTGTTTATTTCTCAATTTCTTTTTATGTCCAACGGAGATAAACGTTCTTCGATGGAGCGAACATATCTCTTCCTAATGTTTTCACTTTCTTCCGTATCTCAGCTTAAGATTGCATAGTTTGGCAATCTCTTATTTGTGGCAATCAACTCAAACGTATAAAACTGGTAATACTGTTAATGATTCAAATAGTCACAGAACTATAAAGGTTGGGCATAGTAGTATGTTACAGTTTAAAAGTTAATCATTAAAGTTTACTAATGTTGAAACCATATTGGACGAGCGAATAGTGCAAAAGTGAGCGACTCAGAGAGAGAGAGAGAGAGAGAGAGAGAAATTGATGATACGTGTTCCGAGTGAGTTCCTTATGTTTCCTTTCTCACAAATACTCTTACAAAAGAGGGGGGTATGAATGTAATTCTTCTCCCACTAGCTATAGACTAAATAGCAGGGCTGCCTGGTCCCTATTGCTTTGAGGTGGCAACCACTCTAGGAGAAAAGAAACTCTGATTTCAAAATCAGCCTGAAGAAGAATAAGCTCCGTTTGCCTAACTTGCCGTAGACGCACCAACGCTGTTATGACTGCAGTACACGCAGTACCTCGACAACTCTAGTGGATTACATGACTCGTGATGTGGCATGAAAACAATGTAAAACTTATATAAAAGTACATTTTTAACACCAGCTTTTTTTTTTTTAATGAGAGGTACTTGGATTTATACTTTAAAACTAAAAACTTTGCATACAAATGGATTTGGTAGAAGCAAATAGGTTTTGGTTGTCTGGAATGATTACTTTAACTTCTGTGGAATTGCAGATCGATCTCAATAGAAATCAGAGATTCGAATACCGTTATTATCGATTTGTCACGGGGTAATCTCTGAAGCCATTACTTGTAAGTTATTTTTGACTGATTTTTTTCATTAAACGTTATTTTATGAAAAGATAAAGTTAAATCCCACAAGCATCAGTGTCACTATGTTCCCTCTTTGCCACGATAGAACAATTAGTGTTCTTCTTCTTTTTCTTTCTTTTTCTTCTTTTTCTTTCTTTTTCTTCTTCTTCTTTTTCTTCAGTAGCGATGTGGCAGCAATACTTCATTTTTCGTGTGACTTGATTCTTGGAAAGCTAGAGGAGTCAGAAGGAGTCAAGTACAAAGAATTAATCAATTTTCCGAGGATCTTTACCGATGGATCGTATACACGAATTCCATTTGATGTCCCGGTGGTCTTGAGTTCCGGCAGATGTTCAAAGGAGAGGCTTCTTTGAGAATAAAACTGTTCTTGACTGGAGAAAATTCTCTGATGATGAAACGTTACTGGCTTGGTTTTGGTGTCATTTAATATTACAAATCACTCCCGTCCTGGGTATGACGATAAACTACATCCGGCAGTAAGGCCTGTGATCGGGAGCTTTTGAGAAGCGTGCAACCAAAACATAATTGCTGTTGTTTCCAAGTTCACCCTTAAACGGGATCGTAGCACTTTGTTGGGGTTCCAGATTCGGGTGAAATTATAAAGATTTTTAGCGTAAAAATAGTAGAAATACATTTTCATAGTAAAAATTAACAGCAATACATTTTTTTAAAAAATAAAAAAATACCGACAATGCATTTTTGAAAAAAAAAACAAACAAAAAAAACATACCAGCAACATATTTTTGTAAAAACTAAAAAAATGAAAATTACCAGCAATGCATTTTTAGAAAAAAAAAAATTACCAGCATTGCATTTTTGTAAAATATAAAAAATAAATAAATAAATTATCAGTAACGAAATTTTTTGGGGAAAAAAAAAAATTACCAGCAATATATTTTTCAAAAGAAAATACTGATGCTCGTAAGAAAATGAAGTTTCGGCATTAAATGTCCCATAAGGATTTAATATGCCGTTAAGCAAACAAGGAAATCAGTTGATTCACCATTGATCTGTGTAAGCAAGTATTGAGGCTAGATTATTATTAGTATAGTCTGGTTAAAGATAACAGTAGAGAGACATTTAGTGTCGTGTAAACTGGTTTGGAAGATGTCCTTGCTCTATATCAAGCCTCCCCCCTCCCATGTCATAAACTGGTTTGGAGGATGTCCTTGCTCTATATCAAGCCCCCACTCCCATGTCATAAACTGGTTTGGAAGATGTCCTTGCTCTATATCAAGCCCCCCCACCTCCCATGTCATAAACTGGTTTGGAAGATGTCCTTGCTCTATATCAAGCCCCCCCCTCCCATATCATAAACTGGTTTGGAAGATGTCCTTGCTCTATATCAAGCCCCCCCTCCCATGTCATAAACTGGTTTGGAAGATGTCCTTGCTCTATATCAAGCCTCCCCCTCCCATATCATAAACTAGTTTGGAAGATGTCCTTGCTCTATATCAAGCCCCCACTCCCATGTCATAAACTGGTTTAGAAGATGTCCTTGTTCTATATCAAGCCCCCCCCCCCATGTCATAAACTGGTTTGGAAGATGTCCTTGCTCTATATCAAGCCTCCCCCCTCCATGTCATAAACTGGTTTGGAAGATGTGCTTGCTCTATATCAAGCCCCCTTCCCATGTCATAAACTGGTTTGGAAGATGTCCTTGCTCTATATCAAGCCTCCCCCCTCCCATGTCATAAACTGGTTTGGAAGATGTCCTTGCTCTATATCAAGCCCCCCCACTCCCATGTCATAAACTGGTTTGGAAGATGTCCTTGCTCTATATCAAGCCCCCCTCCCATGTCATAAACTGGTTTGGAAGATGTCCTTGCTCTATATCAAGCCTCCACCCTCCCATGTCATAAACTGGTTTGGAAGATGTCCTTGCTCTATATCAAGCCCCCCCCCATGTCATAAACTGGTTTGGAAGATGTCCTTGCTCTATATCAATCCCCCATGTCATAAACTGGTTTGGAAGATGTCCTTGCTCTATATCAAGCCTCCCCCCCCTCCCATGTCATAAACTGGTTTGGAAGATGTCCTTGCTCTATATCAAGCTCCCACACCATGTCATAAACTGGTTTGGAAGATGTCCTTGCTCTATATCAAGCCTCCCCCCTCCCATGTCATAAACTGGTTTGGAAGATGTCCTTGCTCTATATCAAGCCCCCCCTCCCATGTCATAAACTGGTTTGAAAGATGTCCTTGCTCTATATCAAGCCTCCCCCTCCCATATCATAAACTAGTTTGGAAGATGTCCTTGCTCTATATCAAGCCCCCACTCCCATGTCATAAACTGGTTTAGAAGATGTCCTTGCTCTATATCAAGCCCCCCCTCCCATGTCATAAACTGGTTTGGAAGATGTCCTTGCTCTATATCAAGCCTCCCCCCTCCCATGTCATAAACTGGTTTGGAAGATGTCCTTGCTCTATATCAAGCCCCCCTTCCCATGTCATAAATTGGTTTGGAAGATGTCCTTGCTCTATATCAAGCCTCCCCCTCCCATGTCATAAACTGGTTTGGAAGATGTCCTTGCTCTATATCAAGCCCCCCACTCCCATGTCATAAACTGGTTTGGAAGATGTCCTTGCTCTATATCAAGCCCCCCTCCCATGTCATAAACTGGTTTGGAAGATGTCCTTGCTCTATATCAAGCCTCCACCCTCCCATGTCATAAACTGGTTTGGGAAGATGTCCTTGCTCTATATCAAGCCCCCCCATGTCATAAACTGGTTTGGAAGATGTCCTTGCTCTATATCAATCCCCCATGTCATAAACTGGTTTGGAAGATGTCCTTGCTCTATATCAAGCCTCCCCCCCCATGTCATAAACTGGTTTGGAAGAAGTCCTTGCTCTATATCAAGCCTCCCCCACCCATGTCATAAACTGGTTTGGAAGATGTCCTTGCTCTATATCAAGCCTCCCCCCTCCCATGTCATAAACTGGTTTGGAAGATGTCCTTGCTCTATATCAAGCCTCCCCCTCCCATGTCATAAACTGGTTTTGGAAGATGTCCTTGCTCTATATCAAGCCTCCCCCCCTCCCATGTCATAAACTGGTTTGGAAGATGTCCTTGCTCTATATCAAGCCTCCCCCCTCCCATGTCATAAACTGGTTTGGAAGATGTCCTTGCTCTATATCAAGCCCCCATGTCATAAACTGGTTTGGACGATGTCCTTGCTCTATATCAAGCCCCCATGTCATAAACTGGTTTGGAAGATGTCCTTGCTCTATATCAAGCCTCCCCCCCTCCCATATCATAAACTGGTTTGGAAGATGTCCTTGCTCTATATCAAGCCTCCCCCCATCCCATGTCATAAACTGGTTTGGAAGATGTCCTTGCTCTATATCAAGCCTCCCCCTCCCATGTCATAAACTGGTTTGGAAGATGTCCTTGCTCTATATCAATCCCCTCATGTCATAAACTGGTTTGGAAGATGTCCTTGCTCTATATCAAGCTCCCCCCCTCCCATGTCATAAACTGGTTTGGAAGATGTCCTTGCTCTATATCAAGCCCCCCCTCCCATGTCATAAACTGGTTTGGAAGATGTCCTAGCTCTATATCAAGCCCCCCCCTCCCATGTCATAAACTGGTTTGGAAGATGTCCTTGCTCTATATCAAGCCCCCCCCCTTCATGTCATAAAGTGCATCATTTCCTCGTAATCATTCTTTTTTATTTCGGTTTCTTCATAGCCATAAAAATTCCACCAAATTTAACGGACCAAAAATAGTGTCTGATTGGGTTGTTTACAAAACGAGTCCGTTACATTAATTAAATATATTCGTCGGATGGCACTGACAGCCGGAGGGGCCGTTCGATTTGCACGGAACACAAAAAGTCCAGTCTGGAATATATTCGATTTGAAAATCAAATACAGAAAAATAATTTACATGGGCCGATACCAATTGCAAGCAGAATACGCTGCTACCTGAAAAAAAGAAGGGTTTATCTGAATAGCCTCAAAGCAAATTAATAAGATCTTACGGGGAAATGGGTCAAACCCAGAGAGTTGGTTCTGTACACAAACCGATGATAATATTGATAATCTAATGTAAGATTTACATTCGAAAAGCAGTAAAAATATGGTATGAAGCTGAACATTATTGGTAGAGGAGGGGATTTTGGAATTCATTTTAACATTTCTTGAAGCAGACAATCGTCGATATTACTTTCACCATAACGTGAAATCTTGCGGGCAACAATCACTCAAATAACACATTGTCTCCATGAAGCTCTAACTAAATTCCATATTTACAATTTCATTTGGCTGGGCGACACGGAAGAGAAATGGAAAGCTACGGGCATTACAGTTACGATTTACTAAGACTATTTACCCAAATATAGAGACAAGAATATTTACTGAAATACGTTAATATGTCGTCCAGAATTACACTAAAGTTTAATGAGGTATAAAGTCACACTAAGAAAACAACTTACGGGACAGAAAGTAAATGAATATCTATCTATCTATCTATCTATCTATCTATCTATCTATCTCAGTCTGTTGATTCTCTCTCTCTTTCTCTTTCTCTCTCTCTCTCTCTCTCTATATATATATATATATATATATATATATATATATATATATATACATACACGTTTTTACTAGTTTGAGAGTGGAAGG